AAAAAAAAGATTTTGAATTAAGAAGCGAACCAAAGCGGCATTTTTTTCGTCAACATGAGAAGATAGGAAGATTCTGGGCACACGACGTTGAATGCTTGCAAGTACTAAAATAGACACTTTCCAAATAATATGACAAAGGATAGCAACAGTTTACCTTTTCTATCACCTATAAGGATGCTGGTGAGGTTTGGCCCAAAGTGTGCAGTTTTGCTGAGAGGGAAGTCGTCCAGAAAATGTTCAATGATGTCACGAGCAGCACTGGCTTCTATGTAATTCGATTGCGTGTCTATTGATGGTACCAGCTGTAAAATTGTGCCCATGGAATTAAACATGTACCAGTAATATCGGAAACTTTGACTAAGTATAAAAGCAAACAATGCTTCATTTGAGGAGAGGCAAAAGCTAGAAAAAGCAATGGCGAGGAAAGTCAAATGAAAGTTCATTTGAGAGGTAAGACAACGGCGAATTCATACCGTAACAAACAACTCCTCGCACACTTGCATCATATGAAAGAGATCACGATTAGTATACGGTAACTGGTATCGATCCGTAGTGCGTACTTCAAAATTCACGAATAGATAATTAGCTTTACAATATGACAGACGCGTAGCCAATTGCAGCAGCTGAAAAGTGTTATATAAGTGATTTATAGAGAGATATGAAGTAGAAATCAGTACCGTTTCTGTATTAAGGATACGACAACCAGAAAAGTCCTGAAAGATAGCGCGGAAAGGGCGATCTGGCTGATCACGCACTGTGAGACTAGGTATCATACTATCTAGAAGTAAAATTCTTAAGTTTGTGATTCTTTAGGCCATGAATCCTACCTATGAACATCCCCGGTAGTTCTGCTGATTCGCGCAATCGAGGAGCAGAATTGCCATTCTTTGGTGATATACTATTTCCGTTGGTTAAAGAATCATTCGTATTTGAATAACCATTGGATAGCGAGCTACCATAACTAACATTTTGTGGCATGGTACCATCAGAAGCATGGCGAGACGCAAATCTTGAGAAATGATGAGAAGTAGGGGTAAAAAAAGAAGATAAAAGAATTGAAGTGAAGAAGAGCAAAACTATGGGAAAGTCGAACGAAAACTGCCAAACGCACTCACTTCTGAAGTCTGATAATTTGCACAAGCGTAGCAAAACCATAACGAATCCCACTATAATCATTCGCCACAATTTCCACACCACGCGGATCGATATTCAACGCATAAGCACCCAATGGACGTCCATCATCATAAATGCCACACGTTACCTTTCCATCCAAAGGCGAGGAATCATGGTCAGCCGTCTAAAAGCACACTGATTTCCCGTTCAAAAGATTTCATTTTTAACTGATACCTTATGTCCGCGATATTCCAAATCCAGATTAACGCTGGAGAGTAGCGGGGCGCTAATTTGTATGGCCTGCATCATTCTTCGCGGACTACCACTTGATGCATCGCAGAAGTAAATTTTGAGTCTACAATCGTTGTCATTATATACGAAATTACTTATGAGTGGCTACCTGTTATCTTTGGGGAAGGGGAATCCAGTAGAAGAAGAATTGATTCTAATTAACTTTGGTTGAGGCCAGATAAGGTCAGTCCAGTATTCAGGTTTGCCATCCATATATTTCTCGGTCCTAAACTGGGAAGAGGACTATTTGCTGCA